TTTTTTCCAAGACAGGGTTTCTCTGTGTAGCTTTGGAGCCTATCCTGGCACTCACTCTGGAGACCAGGCTGGCTTCGAACTCACAGAGATCCGCCTGCCTCTGCCTCCCGAGTGCTGGGATTAAAGGCGTGCGCCACCAATGCCCGGCCCCCTTTTGCTCTTTAAAAATACCTTGCATCTGTGGTTTGGAGCTTCAACTCTCCTGACAAGGTTGAGCCCCAGCTAGCTGGTTTTTCTTGGATATAAACAAATCTTCGTGCACTTGCATTCAGGTGTCATTAAGCTCCTTGAAGCCTTGGGGTCCCTGTCTTGTTGGGCACAACTGATATTATGGAATAAGCCTGTTTTTTTTTTCCAGTTGATATTCTGATTGCCAAAATATTCTTGTACAAATAATCTAATACAATATTTGAATTCATCTAAAGATTTGCAAGCATAATTCTCTTTGCTATGGTGGAAATGACGAAGCTCTTGAAATTTACAATCATCCATACTAACTTCCGTGTTATGCACTTTCCAATCCAAGACCATGGCACATGGGAATGGAGACTTGAATCCCAGAGAGCTTCAGATTATAGGCATAAAAGGGATGCCGGCAAATGTCATGAATCTGAATGTATATTTTTCTGCTAGTTCCACAGTATCCTTGTAAAGATTAATTTTTTATCACATGGTTTCATCCCTCATTAGTTTCTCATCTGAGACATATGCACAGCGTGACTGAAATGAAGCATTCTAAAAAGTGTTGGTGCCAGGCTTGGTGGCACAGGCCTTTAATCCCAACTCTCAGAAGGCAGAATCAGTTGAACATAGTGTATTCTCCCATGATGAGTAGCAATGCCTGGACCCTTCCCTGGGGGCTTTGTGCAGAGACTGGATGTTGCTGTGTTGTAGGAATTTGGCAGAGTCACTGTATCCGGGTAGACCTTAGATTGAACAACAGTTTTTTTTTTTGTTTTTTTTTTTTGTTTTTTTTTTTTTAAGAAGCACTTTGACCTTGAAGACTCTATAGAAAACAGTGGTTGTTTCACGTGATCTCTAGAATTGTTTTGCTGAAGGGAAATTGTAGCCCTTCCATGACTTTGGTCACAAGACACTTCAGGCACCTGAGGCTCTTGTGTTACTGTGTATTACAAACAATACATAATAAAGGACTAAAATCTTGAGGGCATGTGATGCTCTCCTCTAGTAAGAAAGATAAATTAGATGAGGGACCTTTGCATGAGGAAATACTTTGTGTAGCTTTCAATAAATATACTTTTTCATCACTGTTCATCAGAGAGGTAGGATCTTCCTGCTGCCACATAGGCCTCCAATTTTCATCTTTGAGTGACTTCTTTCTTCAACTGACACTGAAACATGGTACACCTGACATTGCAGAGTTGCATTAGTGT